AACAGACCTTTTCAGGGTACACATCACAACTCTGGTCATACTAGCGCTAGGTTTGCTGGAGGGGTACCCTTTTCTACTGCCTGTGGGATTCTGGACAACTTTTTGTGCAGCTCTGGAGTGAAAGAAGCCACTTAAATTAGTTTCTCATTAAATTTCTTGATCATTATTTTGTCTGATGTGAACTTCAAGAATTTGTGGGACGAAGTATCTAAGAGCTAGATGGTTCATATCCATTCAGATAGCCATCTTGGCAGGAAGTCCTGAAAACCATTTTAGGATTTTATTTTATGAATTGCTATGGCCAAACAAAATCACCAAAAAGCTAACTTATAAGTCTCTCCACACAATCTACATAGGTAGATTGGTTCTTGGAGAGCAAATAGTATATCATGGAATCTGCATTCAAAGCCTTTCTAACATTCAAGAACCTTTCAGAATTCATACCCAAATGACATAGACTTCAATAACCATAGATAACTTCCATGTTATAACGAGGCATCAGAGGGGATATAAAGGAGAGAATAAGTAAAGGAAGGAGAAAGGGTCAGCAACAGAGTGAATATAACTATTTATATGAGGGAATAAAACTGTGAGCAAAAAAAAAAAATTATATAGTTGTAAGATAAAGACTATCTGATTATTTTCATGTATGACCAAAATAAAAATCTATGGGTTCCACAGTTAATAAAAGAGTTGTGGCCTTTAGTTTTCTAGTATGTAAAATAAGAGGTTTGAAGTAGATGGGTTATATCTATGTGACTGTAAGAGACTATAAAACAAATTGTAATTTAAGGAGTTATAATAATTTACTTACAGCATGAACTACTCTGGTCCTGTCTGATGTCCAGCAAGGAAAAATTAATACTTATAAGATTACAAAACAAAACCAGAAGAAAAAATGATATCATATGCCCCAAAATATCTACAGCAGAACTTCCTGGTCAATGTAAAAAACAGGCAACAAGGTAGAGGCCCATAGAACCAGAAAGGCTAAAAAAATTATATGAATGTAACGCAAGATAGTATACTGAGTCATATAAAAGATCCAGAGAAGGATAAGAAGATTTATATGAGATACAATGAATAGGAGCAGGTAAAAATATATACAATGATTTTTAACAAAATCAACCCCCAAAATTGTCTCAATACTATGTAATTATAATGAAATGTACCTCCCTTCTCTATGAGATTGATTAAAGGTGTAGAATATTGCACATAGCATCAGATTTAGTCAATATGTTCATTAGTTTAATTATATGGCAATTTTTCTCTTTCATTTTACACATTGTTGTAAACGATGGCTTATTAGATAGAGAATGGGATAGTGATATCATTGATATAGTGATCATCAAATGAAGATAATGTAAAAATAAGATGTTCATTAAAAAAAGTTTTTTTTAAAGAAAGAAAATAAGGCTAGGAAGGAGATTTAAAAACAAGCAGAATTTTTCAAAAAAGAACAGAATTTGAAACAATTTTTTAAAAAATATACAAAAGACATTAAAAAAGGAAAATAGTGAAAGTTTTCCTTATCGAGTTAAGGATAAATGGATTTAAAATGAGATGCATAATATTTTTTTCATAAATGCTATGTAATTAGTTACTAAGAGAGGTTCTTGAACCTCAAATTGCATACATTTTTTTAAAATTCTAATGGAGAATTTGTAAAGGCATGTTTATAAAAATAGGGTCTCTGATCTACAAACATTTAAATTTGTCTTTTCTAAGAATTTGGCACATTATTTGAATCCTTAAATTTTCTCAATGCTTCAAGATTCAAAAATCTTTAAGAACAAGAAAATTAAAATTCCCTCCATTATGTCTATCATACATACTGCTACACAGAACTAAGTATTTGTTGTAGATGAAGCACAAACAATAGCATCCTCTTAGTTCAGTTTGATGATGGCACTCAAGAGTCACTGCATTTAACAAAGGAGGTTTACTTTGCCCTAAAACAATATTGTTACACAATAAGGACACAGTGGCACTAAGCTTCTCTAGATATAGTCCCCCTCATCTTGTCTCTATCAAGAAATCCATTTGGCCAGTAAGTCATCAGGATGTGGCAATTTGCATGGTATCAGGCACCCATCAAGTCTGAAAGGCCCAGATTACGTAATACATGATTGGGAATTTTCATGCCTCTCAACCAGGAAACTGTATCAGAGAATCTGGGGCCAAAGGAAGTTGCATCAAGAATATGCTAGCCCTATCACAATACAACTCTCGATCTTTCCAAGTAAAGCCGTGTAGTCAGTTATTGAAACATTTATGAATTAACAAACATGCCCAATTTTAATTGAGATTTTCAACTAAGAGTTCTTATGGTAATAATTTAATCATCCCAATGCCACCCTGGTGACAAGAGTCCCTGACCTTAGCTTGGCTAGTTTTCAAACAGAGTCTACTGCCAATACTGAAAACCTCTCCAGGGGGTTTTCAGAACCTGACATTTTGGGCTCTGATGGCACAGAATTCAAGACTAGTAGTTTACCATGGAACATAAAGCATTTTAATGGGTTCACTACACTGATAGAAATATAAAATATGTTTAAAATGATCACATGATTGGAACCACTGATAATTTTTTTCATTAAAAATTATCAGAAAAAGCAGGTAGAAATTTAGGCCATTTATGTATGTATTGGATTTAAAATCCAAATATGACAGTTGTACATAACTATTTTTACTTTTATTCCTTTGAATGTATTTTTATGGATAAACTTGTTGGTAATTAATTACTACTAGATCCCTTCTCCCATTGGTGAGTTCCTCCTGGGGACTCCATTTTAGGAAGGAGCTCAAACCAGTCAACTTTCATTATCCTTCATTACCATCCTCCCCCTGCTGGTAACTTTCCAGATTTCAACACAGTGTCCCTGTGCATATACTCTACCCCTCCTCCCTGCAATACTTTCTCAACTTGAGCTCCCTTTTTTGGTTTATGTTCCCTTGTTAAAATGTAAGCTCCTTAAGGACAAGAGACTGTTGTTCCTTTTGGCTGTATCTGTAGTGCTTTTATAGAAATGATTTTTGCCTTTTCTCACTCACTGTTGAAAACATAACTCTCCAATATCTTTTTTTTGCTACATTACGATACATTGCTGTCATTTAAATATTATGTGATAAAAGTGAATTGACTAATTCCATTTTTATACATATATAACACAATATACATATATACAGACATACATATGTTCCAGTTATGAATACAGTAACATTATGAGAACCTAAAAATCATTTTTTCTAGTGTAAGAAAGAGAATCAATAAGAATTATTTATGAAACATAAATTCAGGAGATAAATTTCCTTTCTTGATTAAAGAATTCCATTTTCATAACTAAATAAATAAGTGAAAATCAATTTAAAACTACAAAATATATATTTAACTTTCTATTTAGTCACTTTCAATTTACTTAACTACTTTTAAGTTAAAAAAATAGTATTAAAGCTTCTAAAAATGGGAATGTTTTATTTTTGCTTTCTCCATGTTTATCTCCAAGAAGTACGGGGGTTTGTGGCCACTGAATATGTCACATAGAATGAAAATAATTAAATGAAAACCTGATCTCTCTGGCAAATGACTGTCATGATTCATACAAAAAGAAAAAAACAAGTTTATCCTTTCTATTTGCTACCATAATTACTTTATAGCATCATAAATAGTTATGATACAGTTATTTTAAGCATCGTATAAATGGCTATGTTTTCTTTACTCTCAGAAAAAAGGAGATAGTAGTCTTTACAATCAGTATCATAAAGACTTCTAGTAGAGCTAAGGGTGGTATTTTTTTTAACCTCTTCTGCCAATCCAAATCATTACTATGTTATATTTTTGCATTCCAAGATAATGGACACCTCAAGATTCAAGTGTTGGAAACATTAGTTTAGAGAGAAAGGCTTTGAAAACATCAGATTTAAAATCATCTTTTAAATTAGCTAAGACAACACAAATCATTAAGAATCAATCTCCATCTTATCCCCTCCCTGCCAACCTCCTCTCCCCACATCTTGCTAGCCCAGTCTGGAAATACTGAGATTATTACATGAGGGCTACTCATAAGCATGAGAACTTTGACCTGCTATGTTTCTGAAATGGGTTGGTTCTCACTCAGGGTTCAACACATTAAAATCTGAGCTGCATGCAGACACCTGATCACATAGCCCACTGTGATTTAGAATTCCTAAGCTCAAGACACCTGCCAGCTTCAGCCTCCAAGAACTGAGATTAAAGGTGTATGCCACCACACCCACCTCTACTGACTTAGAGTAACTGCATACAACATTATGCAGCTGTGTTCCTCACTGCTCCTTAGAAAAACAATATTTATATGGGAAGCATTCCACTCCATAAATATTTGTTAGATGGATGAAGTAATGAATGGATCAACCCAGGAGAAGGCATACAGGAAAATTTGAGGCTATCTTTCCCCCTCATCATCAGTCAGCAGAAAAAGATGTTTAAAACAAAACATTTATTCTTTGAATCACACAGTGAACTGAGAACAAAAAAAAGGAACAAAAGAAAAAAGGAACAAAAATGAACAACTTAAACACACAGGCAGACAATCAGAGAAGACAATGCCATACATCACTCCTTGAGAGTATTCAGTGTCACTTCAGTACTTTCTTTGAAGTATCAGAATTTCTTAGAATGTCACATACCCACAAATTATATTAGAGTTGATTTTTTTAAAGTAGTTCAAAGTCAATATAAATGATCTATAATAAGTGATTGTAACATTAGTAATAGAGAAATAACTGAAAAAAATATCAGCTTTCTTTCATGATTTGGGAATGATAGAAATAGACATTGTAAAATGAGTCAATGTGAGAGGATTTTAAAATTAAATTTAAAATAAATTTAAATTAAAACAAATTTAAAAATACATGTGATACCATTTTGAATTATCTGCAACACCATACCAAAGACACACAAATCATGGTATGGCATGTATGTCTGAGAGAAAACTAAACACAAAAAACTAAACACATACTTCTATGCTGAGATTGGTGAAAAGAATAAGCTTTACTCCGTTCTGGAGAGTAACTTCTGCTGCTGACACTGGAGCCAGATCTGCTGTGAGGAGAATCTTTTCGATTTACAGGAGATTCCCGGAAGAATGGATTTTCCCTTTTATGAGGAGATCGTTCTCTCACGAAATGGGAAGAGTAGAAACCTTTTCTTCTAAAGCCATCTCTAGTGTCCCTTTGGAGAGAATAAAAAATTTTTTTTTACTATACTTTTTTTAAAAACACAAAGCAAAATAAGTGACAATGATTACTTTATAAGTAGCACTTTATATAATACTTATAAGGCCCATCAGTTCACTTCCACGTAAGTTTTGGTGCCCCTATAAAATCCGACTACGAGACAGGAAAATGTTATAGCATCTATTGCTACTGCTTCACATTTTGGACTGAACAAATCTTGAAGAAATAGCTATTATATTCTAAACAAATATTAAAGAATCCATAGCAAAAAGGAATGCAAAAACGTTAGAAGATTGGAAGAGGAAGAAGTAACTTCAAAGGCCATCTGATCCAATCCTAGACACTTTACAGATGAGGTAACTGATGACTAGTAACTTAAATGACTTGCCAAAGGTCACAAAGGAAATGAGTTCTTCAACCTGCCTACCACCCCGCATGTAAAACGACTTTGTTAGAACCATTAGACACAAAAGAGTATCTATCCTACTCTTTTTTTGGTCATTTTATTGATACCAGTAAATTCCTTCTAAGCCTCATGTTAAATCAATCTTTCACCAAAACAAAGAAAAACAAGTAAACAAAACAGATTAAAAGGCTACCTCATTGAACAGTACATTCAAATTTCAGAGAGGGACAGCACTTCTCACCTTCTGGAGAAAAATGCATTTCATTCCGTTTTCTACTACCCAAAGTGATCACTGATATTCATCTGAGTTCATGTTCCTTTCAGTATAGTTTTTAATTACTTTACTAGAGTCATTATGTATTTAAGGCTCTTGGATCTGCTTACGTTGCTGCATTCATATTTCTTTCTTGAGATGCAATAGTTTTCCTTTACTTTCATGTACCAGATTTTGTTCTGCTCTTTCCCTAAAAATGGCCCACATACAGTTTCCACTTCTTTGCTACTACAAAAAGTACTTCTGTGACTATCAGCTATCTGAGAATTTTCTTCCCCTGACCAGCTTTGGTTAAATGAGTAATTATTTCAGTATTCCTTTAAAGAACACTTTATAAGTGTATTTATGCAATTCCTAAGTGTGTTTTGGTTAGGTTAACTCTCAAATGCACTATGTATTTTGTAGTTATTTTTAAATGAATTTTTTTTATTTCCTTAGTTTTTATTAGTATATATAGATATTAGTGCATACAGAAATGCTTGTGATTTCTATGGATTTATTTTGTATCCTGCTAACTTACTTAAGTTTTTAATCATTTCTACTGGAGTTGACTTCTACCAGCCAAGATGGCAGACTAAGCAGTCCACTCTCCAATACTGACCTCTGAAAAGAACAAAAAATAGTGCCCCAAGAAAAATCCTGAAACAGCGGAGCCAACAAAAAGACTGGGTGGAGCAGTCTTTCAGCACAGAAAACTTGGAGGATCAGCAAAAAAGGTCCATTTCTCTCTGGTAAAAGGGAAGTACACTCCAGGACATGAAGTGTCCCAGCAAGCCAGCAGCAAACCCCACATCAGCAAACCAACAGGAGATCCTGAGCCCCAGGGTGGCGGAGCAGGCAAAAGCCAACACCACGACTCTCCACTAGGATGCCCCACGTGTTTTAGCATAGCCAGGGAAACTGGCACATTCCAGCTCAGAGAACTACCACATGTTTCAGTGCCGCCCTGAGCAGGTAGGCATCCCCTAGTGGGCAGACACCCCCGGGTTTCAACACAGCCCAAGGACAGCAGGTGTCTTCCATCTGCTGGACCTCGCTGTGATCAGGCACAGCCCTAGGCAGGTAGGCATCCTCCAGCAGCAGGACTTCACAGAGCTCCAGTGCAGACCTAGGGAAATGTAGAAAAACCCCACCTGGCCTCAGCACATCCCAGATATCACCACTAGGACCCCAGCTCAGCACCAGGTAAGCTGCCAGATACTTATAGCCTCTGGCTAATAGCACCTGAGGTCCTAGCACACAAAGCCAGTGACTAGGACCCTGGCCCCAAGCACAAGAAGCTTGGGACAGAACCTCCTGTACTCCAGCAAGCGATCTCAACTTTAAAAACCAGGAAACAAGCAAACAACATGAGCAAAAAGCCGAACTGAACACTGACCATAGACAATCTCTATGAGGAAAGGAAAGATAAAAACACAAACTCAGAAGGGAACAACACTGTCAATATACCTATATCTGAAATCTCAAAGGAGAATATGAATTGGTCTCAAGCCCAAAAAGCCTTCCTGGAAGAGCTTAAGAAGGATTTCAAAAGTCAAATAAGCAATGTATTAGAAAAATTGGGAAAAGAAATGAGAAGTAGGCAAGAGAGAAGAGTCAATAGCTTGGAAAAGTAAAGGCAAAAGTTGACTGATGAAAAAAATTCCTTAAAAAATACAATTGGCCAAAGGGAAAAAGAGGTACAAAAATTCAGTGAAGAGAAGAACTCCTTAAAAAGTGGAATTGGGAAAGGAGGTACAAAAGCTAACTGAAGAAAAGAATTCATTAAAAATTAGAAATGGTCAAGTGGAAGCTAATGACTCTATGAAACCTAAAGAATCAGTCAAACAAAATCAAAAGGATGAAAAAATAGAAGAAAGTGTAAAATACCTCACAGGAAAAACAACTGACCTGGACAACAGATCCAGGAGAAATAATTTAAAAACTATTGGTCTATCTGAAAGCCATGACAGGGGGAAAAAAAAAAGAGCCTGGATAGCATCTTTTAAGAAATTATCAAGGAAAACTGCCCTAATATTCTAGAACCAGAGGGTAAAATTGTCATCGAAAGAATCCACTGATCATCTCTTGAAAGACAACCCAAAATGAAAACTTTAAGGAATATTGTAGCCAAATTCCAAATCATCAGGTCAAGGAGAAAATACTGTAAACAATCGGAAAAGAAAAAAGCCAAATTAAATATTGTGGAACTACAGTCAGGATTACACAGGACCTTGCAGCTTCTACATTTAAGGATCAGAGAGCTTAGAATATGATATTCCAGAAGGCAAAGGAGCTTAGATTACAACCAAGAATCAACTATCCAGCAAAATTGAGCATAATCTTTCCAGGGAGGACATTGACATTCAATGAAACTTCCAAACTATCCTGATGAAAAAGCTAGAGCTGAACAGAAAATTCAATCTTCAAATACAAGACTCAAGAGAAGCATAAAAAGGTAAACATGAAAGGAAAAACAACAACAACAACAACAACAAAATATAATTGAGTAATGGTTAAACTGTTTACATCCCTACATGGGAAGAAGATACTTGTAACTCTTGAGAACTGTACAAACTGTATGAACTGTAGACATAGGGTGTGGGTATAAGCTGACATTGATGTGATGATTTAAAAGAGAAAATTACTGGGGTAGGAAAAAAAGGATTGTACCATGAGAAAATGAAAAGACGAAGCAGAAAAGAGCAAATTACATCACATGAAGAGGGCCAAAGATCTATTAGAGTAGAGGGAAAGAAGGGAGGAAGAGGAGCATTGTTCGAACCTTACTGACATAGGATTTGGTTCAAGGAGGGAATGACATACACACTCAGGCATAGAAATCTAACTTACCTTATAGGTAGTAAGAGGGGAAAAGGGAAAGAAAAGGGGGTGGAAGGGAAGGAAGAAGTAGTAAGTGAAAAGGAAGAGAAAAGGGAGGGGGCTGACAGAAGGCAGGGCAGATTGAGGGAGGCAATGGTCAAAAGCAAAACTCTAGTGAGGAGGGAAAGGGAGAAAGGAGAAAGAAAAGCATAAAAAGGGGTAGGGGGAAGATGGAGAGAAAGACACAGATAGTAATCATAACTGTGAAAGGGAATGGGAAGAACTCTCCCATAAAACGGAAATGGATAGCAGAATGGTTTAATAACCATAATTCTACAAAATGTAGTTTACAAGAAACATTTAAAACATAGGAATATACACAGGGTAAAGGTAAAAGGCTGGAGCAGAATATACTGTTGAAGTAAAAAAAGCAGAGGTAGCAATCCAGATCTCAGACAAAGCAAAAGCAAAAACAGATCTAATTAAAAGAGATAAGGAAGGAAATTACATCCTGCTAAAAGGCACCACAGACAATGAAGTAATATCATTACTAAACATATATGCACCAAGTGGTATAGCATCCAAATTCTTAGAGAAGTTCAGGAAGATACAGGAAGAAATAGACAGCAAAACTATACCAGTAGGGGACAAAAACCTCTCCCTCTCTGGACTAGATGAATCTAACCACAAAATAAACAAGAAAGAAGTTAAGGAGGTAAATAGAATTTTGGGAAAGTTAGATAAGGTAGACCTCTGGGGAAAACTGAATGGGTATAGAAAGGAATATACCTTTTTCTCAGTGGTACATGGCACCTACACAAAAACTGACCATGTACTAGGCATAAAAACCTCATACTCCAATGCATAAAGGCAGAAATATTAAGTGTATCTTTTTCAGATCACGAAATAATAAAAATTACCTGCAATAAGGGGCCATAGAAAGATAGGCTAAAAACTAATTGGAAGCTAAATAATCTAATCCTAAAGAATGAGTCAAACAACAAACCACAGAAACAATAACTTCATCCAAGAGAATGACAATGAGACACCATACTAAAACTTGTGAGATGCAACCAAACCAGTTTTTAGGGGAAATTTTATATCACTAAATGCTTACATGAATAAAACAGAGAAAGATCAATGAATTGACCAAGCAACTAAAAAAGCTAGAAAAAGAACGAATTAAAAATCCCCAATTAAATACCAAAATAGGAATTCTGAAAATCAAAGGAGAGATTAATAAAATTGAAATAAAGAGTTGGTTTTATGAAACAAACAAAAAAACCCCAGATAAACCCATTAATTTGATTTTTTAAAAAAGAAAACCAAATTACCAGTATAAAAAAAAAGGGTGAATTCACCACGAATGAAGAGAAAATTAAAACAATGATTAGAAATTGTTTTGCCCAACTGTATGACAATAAATCTAACAATCTAAGTGAAATGGATGATTACTTACAATAATAGGTTAAGAGAAGAGGAAATAAAATACTTAACCCCATTTCAGAAAAAG